TTGGAAAAATTTGCTAAGGGGTAGGGGAGGGGATAGCAATATAATGATACACACACACAAACATACATAAATGTAATCAATATATATGATGATAAATATATAAGAGTGTGTGTGTGTATCTTTTTTTTTTTTTTTTTTTTTTTTAAGCAGGATTTCAGGCACCCTTATTCACGGCAGGTATTTTTGGTCAGGGGAGCTTTCTCTGAAACCTTCCTGTTACTTAAGGAGACAACTGCTTACATCCTGATGGTCCACTGGCCATTTCCCAGGCTTGGAAGCATCTTGCACGCGGTTCCACCCAGTCCGAGTCCAGCCGGCTCTGGGCTTTCAGGGCCACACCTCGCAGCACAACCTACCGGCCCAGTGAGGGAGTTTCTGCAGCTCGGTGATAACAGTGGGGAATTCATTTTATCCCAGAAGAAATCGACTCCTCTGTGTTCCCCATATAATTTATAAATAGGACAAATTATTCCTTAATATTATTATATATTTGCAGTACAAACAATTAAGACTAGTGACATAGGAAACTTTAAAAAAATCATGCTGTGTTGACTACGGGTTTCCCTCTCCAAAGCACTGTTCCATTCCTCAGCTTCTTCCATATTCTCTATACAAAATCATCCTGCTGTGACAGTTGCATGGGTCTCCTTCCCATCAACACTGCCTCTGGGCTCAGCACTCCTGACACTGTACAGCTGAGCCGTAGGAGTTATTTTCCCTGTCTTCCATCATCAATTATAAAGCCACTACTCTCCTCGAATTTAGGTAAGAAACAGTTTAAAGAAACAGTATTTCTTAAAAACTCAAGCCTACTGCTAGTTATTTAGTAGGCATGGACTTAACATGGTCTGTTTCTTTTCCCAGCCACTAGCTCAAAAGATGGAGTAGCTTAGTTGTAAAGTCCTGCCAGATTTCCTATGGTAACTGCTGTAGATGGACAAGGTAAGGTCCTACTGAAGGTGCAAACCTCATGCGAAACTCTAACTGCTGAAAACCTCATCACATCAGACAACTCTGTCATTGTCTGTATTTAAAAATGCTAACCGTAAAGTGGCTTGTGGTCACTCTGTTACTGTAGCATCTGACCTCAGGGACTCAGACATAAAATCGTGGTTCCATTCCGAGTTTTGGCGACAGAGTAGTGCCAGATATTTCTGAATACACAATTTTAAATGTTTTTAACCGCTTGGAAAGTATCGCCAACACACTATTTGGGGTTTACTCAGTCACTATGAGGATCAAAGAACCTTAACTATCAATGCCTTACTTCACAAAATCTTATTATAACCAAGGATCTACCCTATGTCCAATAAAAAAATTACACAGCAACTTTTATCAAACAGCAACTACTACAAAGGGAATGATAGAAAAAAAATGACTTCACAAAAATACACTAAAAAATTTGACAATTGTATGCAGGAACTGTCAAAGTTTTAGTGTTTAATAGCACAACTGACCAAGGTCCAAGACGTGAAGTTACCATGTTCAGGAAACATGGGGGGCAGGGGAGGGAAACTACTCTATAAACCAACTCTATAGTATGTGGTAAGAAGAATGCACACTTTATAATATAAAACCTGTCTACACAGAGTAGTTACTTGCAAAAAGCTATCCGGCTTCTCTTGGCTTGTAAAAAGGGTGTTCCAGATTCCAATGCAGATGAGCAACCTTCAAGTCTTCTGTGTGGCAGCGATCCTGCTTTCCCCGTCCAGCTTTTCCACCCCGGCCTGTGTCATGAGGTCTGCGATGTTTTTCTCCAGGCCATCAATGTGACTGCTCATGTCATCAATTCTTCCAATGATCTGGTCAGACATGGTCTGAAATTTATCTTGCATCTGTTGCAGGAGTGTCTGCACCACCGAGGTGAGATCCTGCACGGTCTTGGGCTCAGCCTCTGCCATCTCCCGGGTTCCCAGCTTGGCAGTGCTGTCTCAGACCGTCACCTACACTTCCATTTGTCCGCGCAGATGCCCCGTATGTGTGTATATTAAATGTATAAACTGGAAGCATTCACGCCATTTGTGGGCCATGTAGAGTCTAAGTAGAGGGAAGACTCAGAACCACATTTTCTTCCTTTTATAATTATAAATAGATTTAAAGTTAATATCGTCACCTGTTCACATAGTATGTGATTCAAATGAATATAGAAAGTACATATAAATACCTGGAGGAAGAATATTCGAGATTGAGAAAAGTGCAAGTGCAGTTCTTGTGAAGGCAACAGGCTCAGCACGATTGACAAATAGCCAGAAAGCAAGAGTGGCTAAAGTACTGTAAACATCGGAAGGGCAGCAGAAAATGAGGCAGGTGAGGTAGTCAGGTATTAGATGACATATAGCCCTGAAAGTCATGATAAAGTTTTGACTTATATAACCTAAGTGTGATGGGAACTGAGTAGCACCTAAAATGTCCTTGAAAATGCTATTTAAGTAAAAGTGCTTATTTAAATTGTACCTTATGTTTTGTACAATATTCAAAAAGTGAGAATTGTTAACAGAAGTTATGACTTCATTTGGAACTTAAATTACTTTATAAGACCCAGGCTTTCCTATTTCTAAAACATATATGACATATCAGGAAAAGCAATGTAATGATTACAAATGACATAATCCGATATAAGATTCTAGACAGAATTCTATTTTGAGACTTCTGTATGTGTGATCTATATATCAAAGAGTACATAAAACACGTATGTGCAGTTTAATGAATAATTATAGCGTGAACTCGCATAACCATCACATAGAAATAGAATATTACCAGCACCCCAAGAACCCTTGCTATATGACTTTTTAAAAAAGAGCTTACCTAGTACTATAATCTGTGATAATTATCCACTTAAATGTCAACCGAGATCATGTGACCAATCTTCTTATGGGCAAAAGAAATGTTCCCTTAAGTCCATATTTAATTTCAATATGGAAATTGAGTATGTATCCACTTGAAATCTATTCACATTTCAGGATAGAGATGTTCTATCTCTAAGGCACTAATTTTTAATTTTAAACAAAAGATATATCAAGCGAATGAAAAAACCCCCAGAACTATATAGAGCTTGAAGAAAACACATACATCTTCATATATTTTTGTGAAAGCAAACCTAGTAGTGATAGCTTTAAGATAAAAAGCACCTGATTAAAGTAAAACAAAAGTCATTCAAAAGTTTAAGATCTCATTATAGGTTTCATTACAACAAATTAGGTAAAATGAGGAGACTTCTTTGTTTCTCTGTAGTTTCTAGTACATGCTTAGCACTCAAATATTAAATAGTAAATATGAATCAGGCTAATCACAGCATATCTAAAAATATATTTTATTAAATTTAAACCTACTTAATATTTTATATTATAAAAACTTGACATGTCACTGATTCATGACCTTTTACAATATTAAAAATTAAACCTATGAAATCTAGATTTCTATATCTTTATTTTTCTCAGCTCAAGTTTAATAAAACTACAGAAGACCAAAAGTGATACCCTACTACTATACACATCAGTTTGCCTGCCCCATAATACAGCTCAGGCCATTCCCTCCAGAGGAAGAAAGGCTGGCCTCCCCAACCGCTGCAGGAAAGGCCTGTCCTGTCCCACACCACATCTGGGCTGAGTGTAAGATCTTGTGTTTTAAGCATGACAATAGTACAAAAGAGGTTTTGTTCTCATGGCCATCTACTTCAGCCTGGCCCTAAAATGGCCCAGTGCTCACTTCTGCTTAGAGAAATATCCTTTGCTTTTCTGGACATCAGGCTTGATGGTATCACTGCCAGGCTTCCAGCCAGCTGGGCACACTTTCCCATGCTTGTCAGTAAACTGGAAAGCCTGATCTAGTCTCAGTGTTTCATCCACAGAACGGCCAACAGGAAGGTCATTTATGGTGATCTGTCGAAGGATACCTTTATCGTCAATAATAAAAAGGCCCCTGAATGAGATGCCTCTATCAGCCTTTAAGACCCCATAGTCCTAAGCAATGGTGCGCTTGGGGTCTGGTATCAAGGGAATGTTCATGGGTCCTAGTCCTCCTTGTTTCTTGGGTGTGTTGATCCATGCCAGGTTTCAGAAGTGCGAATCCACAGAAGCACGAATCACTTGGCAGTTGAGTTTCTTAAATTCTTCTGCCCTATCATTGAAAGCAATGATCTCCGTGGGGCACACAAAGGTGAAGTCAAGAGGGTAAAAGAAGAACACAGCGTATTTTCCTTTGTAGTCAGATGGGCTGATATCTTTGAACTGACCATCTGGCATTACAGAAGTTGCTTTGAACTGGGGGGCACGGTGCCCAATTTTGGCATTTCCTGAAGACATATTGCTATCAGCAGTTCTCACAGACAAACTACAGAGGACAGTCAGGAAGGAGACACGTCTAGATTTCTATATCTTTTAAATGAATATTTTAGCAATAAACTACCAGAGAACAAGAAATATGTGCGGTCAAAATTAAACTAACAATATTTTAAAATAAAGAATTTCATATTAAAATTAGGTTACTCTCTAATGGAAAATTCTAAAAACCTTTTGCAAATGCATTTAAAATAGTAAAGAGGATGAAATATGATAAATAAAAGCAAGCTATAAAGACACAGGAAATGTGGAAAAACTAACGGATAACATGGATAAAAATAACATTCAGAAGTATCACTCTTAAATTGTTGTGTAGCATTACCTGAATTATGTGCCCTTTAATTTATGCACATGATGGATAGCTTGTTAAGAGGCTATACCATTATAATTGATAGTGGCTGAAGGCAGTCAGGCCATAATTTCTATTTAATGGATGGGATAGTAAGAGAACAAAGTCTGCAGTAGCATTTTAAAATAACTGCCTATAAAGTTTACATTTATGTCCAAAGTGTTACCTATATTCTAGTCTTTTCTATGTTGAATTCTTTAAGAAAAAAGAGAAAAATCAGCTGCAGCAAGATCCACATATTATTAAATCAAAATTCTGATTTAACCAATAACTAGAAAAATCTCACAATAAATGGAAAAGAATTTTCAACTAACCATCTGATGGTCCATTTTTGTTCTCTTGTTCTTTAGAGCTTGTGGGAGAAGCAAATGGGCTAATTTGACAGGTTCCAGTTGTTGGAGAATAGGCTGTAACACTTATCTTCCTTGTGACTTTTGAAGAATCAAATGACTAGAAATAAATATTAATTTGGGACAAAAATACTTATGTTTAGTTACAGATCTTTGGAAATACATTTGAAAAACTCGCAAAATTCAAACTAATACTCTTTTCCTTGATCTTTCTTTTCGGATTTTAAATATACACATTATCTTCAAAGTGAACACTGTTATTTCAAGGTATGTACATTTTCCTGGTCTCCATACTGATTAGGGCATCTCAATTTGATTTTATGAAGTTTTAACATTAAATGGTTACTACATTCTGAGATGGTATTTCCAAACAAGTAGAGATAGCTGACTCTCCCAATTACATCCTGACATTTGTTGTTAGCTGAACGTGAAGTATAATTATGGGCCTAGACCAGAGAAAATCTCAGAAGTGTCTCTTAGTAAGACCCACAAGGAAACCCTAGGAAGGATTAGTGGTGTCCTTAACCTTCACAAAGTTGCTCTGACACAGTATCTTAATGATAAAACAAAAATAATGTTCAAACAATTGAGTATGGCATTCAAGGCCTTTGAGAATTTGATCTATTCTACACAAATCTTCTCTGCAGCTTCCTCCTGTGTTCCCATAGACCTTGTTCATACCTCTTACTGGAGTTAGTAAATTCTAATAATTTATTACATTTCTGTATACCCCATTAGTATTTAAGTTTCTGAAAATACATATTACTTCATCCTTGTACTATAGAACTCAAAAATGTATGATGAATGAATGATTTAAAAGAAACAGCCCAGTAAACTTAGCCAGGCCACTCTATTCAGAATATACTCATTTGGGGCTTCCCTGGTGGCGCAGTAGTTGAGAGTCCACCTGCCGATGCAGGGGACACGGGTTCGTGCCCCGGTCCGGGAAGATCCCACATGCCGTGGAGCGGCTGGGCCCATGAGCCATGGCCACTGAGCCTGCGCTCCGCAACGGGAGAGGCCACAACAGTGAGAGGCCCGCATACCACACACACACACACAAAAAGAATATACTCATTTGTTCACTGGTTCATTCATCTATTATTAACTGACGCCTTTAGTCCCAGTCACTTAGGTTATGCACATTTGGGTCTCAGCTAGTCTTTCTTTGGTTTGGGGCCTCATTCATAATCCACTTCCTCCAAACACCCATTATCACACTATTAATTGCTTGCTCTTCTGAATTCTTTTTAAACATATTTTCTATAATGCTTACTAATCACCCAGCATTTGCTAACTAATGTGTATACAGGAAGAGAACAAATTGCTCTGGCCTCATAAACAGCAGAGGACAGGTCTAAAGGTAGTATGCTTGTTACAGAAATTCAGAGAATAGGGAAAACCAAAGTGGGCTGCAGTAATCTCACAGAAGGATTCTTGTGAAGAGGAAGGGTGAGGCTTAGATAACTGAAAATAAAAGGTATGAAAAACCTGAAATCTAGAGGTGAAACAGACAGCACAGGGTGGATTTAGGGATAAAGGAAAGGTCTGAAGGTTCATGGTATGTTGCCAACACTGTAGAATTAAACTTTAGCTTGGCTGCTGACTTGAAATAGTTATATAATTCTCCATTGTCACCTATTCTTTATTTTCAAGACACCATGGCAGAAATAGTGGCTATGTCACCTTTTTCAATAATCTTGGTATTAGTTCCAGAATCTATAGCATCAATTTTTTTTTTTTACAGGTAAGATTTTAAATGATAGATACTTCTTTGTATTGGGGGGAAAAAGGCATTATATTTTTTATTTTATGTATCCACAGTAGCCACAAATATAACCAATATTTTAAAAAAATCAAACTACAATATCAAGTTATAGCTTCAAAGTAATCTTTTTTGTAAGGTGAAAGAGTTTTAAGTCTCTTTAACAGGTGGTTATTATTACCTCTCCATCTGAGTTTTCAGCTGTTTATAAGTATTCAGTCATAAACTATGACATTTATCCAATCCAACCCCACTTTTCTAAGAATTTATTGCCCAGAAATATTTCACTGTGTATGTACAAGAAATGAAAGCCACTACCCTAATGTACATTTATGTCAATCTGTTTTCCTATTTTCACCAGAAATTATTTTTCCAATTGCCAAATATCTAAATATTGCAACTGGAGATCATACATTTCTCCTTGAAAACAATTTTCTAGCTTTCGTAAAATAAGTCTTTGTGTGTGTGTGTGTGCACGCGCGTGTGTGTATATATATATATATATATATATATATAAATTTTTCCCCCTCACCTTAAAATTACTAAGTCTTCTCTTTTGCTTTCTTTTTTTTTTTTTGGTGATCTGTGTTGATTAAAAAGGAAAATATATGCTACAATCGTAATGTACTTAGAGGGAAAAAAGAAAATCTACCTTTCCCTACTATCCCACTAAATATTCTTCAGTAAATAATGCATTTTTATATGTCTGCCTACTGATACACACAAATGCATAGTCTTACTTCTTTAAGTTCTTTTCCTCTCAAAGTTTAACCAAGGTCCTCTAATTTTTAAACTCTGAAGATGCTTAAAAGTGATCCTAGAATCCTAAGAATTTCCATTCTGCCAACGCCCAAACGTTGAAGGACTTGGTCTTCTTATTAGTCTCCTACAAAAGGAAGAGTTAAGAAGACTGGGATTTGAGAGAAGACTGAGCTACTAATTGAGAAGTCTGGAACTCTTTCCATTCAGCAATGATGAGTGCTACCTACCAGGTCCTTTAGAAAAATAGAGGAAGAAAAAGTGAGAAGAACACATTTGGCTAGAGAAGGGAAAGAATTCAGGATGCAAACAAAATATAAGGATATAGAAATCAGATAAGTCACAACTACTTTCTATAATAATTTACAACTGCTTGTAATATTTATTGACAAAGTTATTTAATACCACTAAAAAAAAAAAAAAAGATTCTGTCTAGGATCAGTCCAAATGCCGCTGTACTTTCTGTAAGGTCAAACCTTGTACATTAGCAAAACTAAAATTTGGTCATTGATTTTTCTGTCCAGAAAAAAAGAAATGAATGTTCTCTCCAGGATTTCAAATATATATGACATTCTCCTTCAATATGTTTCACAAATTGTAGCTTGCTTCATCACCTTGTTTAAAGCATATTCTACCAAAAAGGTACCTGTATTTTATATATTTTTACCTATTATAAACAGTCTAGAAAGTACTAACTAAGGGTTCTTTCAGGATGAAATGTGGGATATAATGGATCTGCTATTATTATTATGAACTACTAGACTATGCTATCACTGAAATATTTAAAAATACAGGTACTGTAGGTATTTGGACAACCAGAAGCAAAAGAAAAATTAGGGTAGCTAAAGGGAGACAATTCTTTATAATCTTATACTGGTTAATTAGGTTATTGGAATGTTTCACCTAAGGCAGTATTATACATCACTAGTACTTATTATAGAATTTACATTAGAAAATTTTAAACACTAGCTGTCTCAGGGATTTTTCATGATTTGGGCCTAGGGTTCCTAGAAGAGCCCTAAATATCAACTAACTTTTTATCAGTTGCCACAATTATCACCCTTAATGACTCTAATAATACTTAGGTTTTGTTATTTCTAATGGTAGTTATGGAGAGCAAAAGCATTTTGCACTTACCCCGTGATCTTACAGGGACATCAGGGAAAGGATATAACCAATATATTAGATCTGTGCTGATGACAATGTTCTATTTCTTGATTGGGTGTTTGATACCCAGGGATATACATTTGTTAAAACTCATTGAACTGTACACTCAATATCTGTGAATTTCACAATCTATAAATTTTACTTTGATAAAAATATTTTAACAGGAAAAATAAAACATTGGCTAAAAAGTTGATACACTGGTGTTTCTATTTGTGCACACTACTGTTCCACAATTTTAAGACATTAAAATATTAATTTTAATATTAAAGACATGACCATTTTGTTACTCTCTTGCACTGTAGTCTTCAATAAGTTTTTAAAGATATATTTTCATGGCTATTATCATTCCTTCATATGTCCTCCTATTTTTTCAGAATAGAAAGTGAATCCTACCTCAAATATATTTTTGTTTATTGAAGTATGATTTACTTACAATAAAATACACAGATCTTAAGTTGTCTGGCTTGCTGAGTTCTGATAACTGTATATATACACTGATGCCACCACCACCCAAGATGAAGAACACTTCTGTCATCCCAGAAGATTCCCTTGTACCCATTTCCACTCAATTCCCACTCTGCAGCCCAGAAGCAACCACTTTCTAATTCCTATAACCATAGCTATTTTTGCCTATTCTCGAACTTCATATAAACTAAATACATAACTCTTGTGTTTGGCTTCTTCTTTTCAATGTGTTTTTGAGATCATCTATGTTGTTGTGAGTGGTAAGATTGTGTTCCTTTTAATTTTACTATTCCTTTGTATAAATGTACCAGAATTTGTTTTTCTAATCTCCTGTTGAAGGACATTTGGGTTATTTCCAGTTTGGGGCTATTACGAATTAAGGGACTAAAGAACATTTTTGTATATGTCTTTTGTGGATATATGATTTTATTTATTTGGGAAGCCCAGGAATGGAATTGCCAGACTATAGGATGGATATAGATTTATTTTCTATATATAAAATAAAGGCTAAATAGTTCTCTAAAGTGTTTGTATCATTTTAAATTACGATCAATAAATGAGAGTTCCAAATGCTGCACATCCTCACCAACCTTCAGGCGGTTTTAGACATTCCAGTGTTGATTTTTAAAGCCATTCTGTTTTGTTGTTGTTATTTAGCTATTCAAGTGAGTGGGAATGGTATTCCTTTGTGGTTTTAATTTGTATTTCCAATGACTAATGATGTTGAACATTTTTTCATGTGCTAATTTTCCATTTAAACATTTTATTTGTCTTAGATTTATAAAGCTGGACAGTTGCTGATTTGGTGATCGTTAGGTCACTCAGACTATGTAAATACAATGTATTGATCTTTCTAAATGTTCTTCTGGGTTTTTAATTGTTTACAAATTTCTTTTTGTATTGAAAGCAAAAAAGACAAAGTATCTTTCAGAGGACTGTATACC